GTCACTGAGGCGCGCAAGCCATCACACCACGTCAAGGTGCAGTCTCGTCGTGATGGAAAGTGCTGTCATGTTGCAGTTTTTAGTGGTAGGTAGCTCCGCTGTTGTCCGATTCAATACTATGCCAAATCTAGTGTGACCTTATGCGATTCGCTAGGCTATGATGTGGCTCAGAGGGTTAAAGAGATTGTGCTCGGATCTGGCTTCGGCTGGGGCCCAAGAGATTTAGGTTATCTTTGGCTGTAGACACTGGGGGTATGGCATCGGACCGAAGTCAGTGGCATGAATGCATCCTTTCCTGTGTGCGAACCAAAGCTCAAAATGGCATGCAGTAAACGAACAAAAAATTCTTATTCCCCAAGTTGACTGCATTTGTTTCCCCTACTTCTGTTCCTATATTCTGCGTTAAACCCACGGTTATTTTGGCGCCGTATCTGTAAAAATTGGTTTTCATGTATAATATTTATATGCGATTCGCTACTGCGAGTTCCATGAGTGAACAACAGGTTCCCTTGACTACGGCATTTATCCTGACTGTTGGTCATCACACATGAATGTGCAATAAAAAGGTTTCACGTCCAATTACAATAATAGAGATATTTACTGCTGTGACGTGGGTTCATATAACCCACTCGGGTCTCTTTACCTCTCGTTCAGACAATGTACTACTGAACAGGGTCAGAAGAAAGTGGAAGTGAACGGGGAATGGCGAATGGATTTTGGCAATTGACAACAAAAACAGTTTGATGACAAAAAAATTTAGGATTAAAGAATCCGTGTGAAAATCAATACATACCACAATCCGTTTATCCACTTCTTCCTGAGTGGTATACCATTTTTCACACAAAGACGGGCGCAAACGAAGTAGATAGTCGGCACCACCGACAGTAAGCACGGATACACTCGAACCTTTGGATTGAAAACTGCTTGTACCCGGCGACGACGGTGCATGACCGGGGGTACTATCCTCCAGGAATGAGTCACGGCTGGCATCTGTCCCGTCAGGAGTGTTACCCAACTGTGATCTTAATCGGGCATGTAAGATTGCACTTCGAAAATACAAGGCTTGTTTGTGACCACCGAGGCGACTGGCAGAACCCACGATAAACAATATAGGCACTTCAGGGACTGATAGGAGTGGATCGTTCGGATAACCTCGAGGGCCTTTCAAACCGACCAGTGGCATTCCGAGACATATGATTCCAGCAATGCCGTACCGATCATCGACAGACTGCAAATGCATTGCCGAAGATAGGACCAGGATGGAACCGACACCGAAACCGACCAGGTAGATTGGACCTCGTTTGGGTTCCTCCAGCTGTGAAATCGGGGGGGGGGAGTAAATTGCAGTACACGATTACAATACTATCAGCCCGTATTAAGTCTTAACAAATTGCCATTAACACGTCCGGTTCTAGCACATCGCCACTTTAAATTGTGCGCACTTACGACTTATCTGAACCTTGCCTCGTTTCTTTTTTTACCTCAGAGAATACTAGTGGATGTACCTGATCCGGTTGCTGGACCATCTGAATACAATTTTCACTTTGTATTGTCTACCTGATCATGTGAAGGATCCGCGCACACACACATGCACAGAACGGTTATGATACGCTTTTTATTGCATCTAGTGTGCGTTCCCGGAGGAACCGAATCGCACTACATTTAATGACCTGGAAATAGCTTTGTTTACCAATAAGTTTTCCTCATTCGATTAAAATAGATGAGAAGGGGGATGATGAACCAGAAGGCTGAACAACCTGAATTTTCTTCCCCTGGGGAGAACAAAGCCAATGGATTTCAATCTGCAAGGATAATGGGTAGATGCATGAGCCACTGTGTAAGATACTCAGTACCACTAGCCATTGATTACAATGATCTCGATGCCCCCGTCCTGGCAGCCTAACGCCGCCTATGGGGACAAGTCTCCCCCTGGTCAGGGCAAACAGCACATGCCGTGGCAATATATTTTGTGGCATGGGCAACACATTCAGCAAACAACGTAATCCGTGGAGATCGACCACTTACGATAGCGGAGTGAATTTCATTCCATACGTCTTGGAACATTTACCTAGCCCCCAAAATATCGACATCTGAATTCAATAGGTTTTCTGATACGGAGCCATACCGGCATCAACAATGGTAAAATATCTTAGCGACACACTATCGTACAATTTACCATGGTCACTGCCCGTCCCGGACATTTTGAACGTTAAGAGCTTTCATATTTCTCACTCCGATCAAGAACACTTTCTGTTTCCCACGAGTTGATTATTGGGGTTGTGGGTGGATGTGTACTGCTCTCCAGAGATTTCCCCGGTATGTTGAAAAAGGCTTTTGTTTATTAGCAAGATTTCTGAATACAGTGGCATCGCTGGAGATAAAATTGCAAACTCCATCATGGACAGGAACTTCCAAACATGTGAAAATCTATTGCAAAATTACTCTCGAACACCCATCATCCATTACACAACGAACTTCAAAAAGCTATATCGACGTCATCCACATGCTCAAGATTCACACATTTAGAATCCTGTTTTGCCATATCTCGCACGCCTACCTGTTGACAAGGGGAAAGTTTCCATAGAATTATACAACGGCTTGCTTCATTGACAAGGACGATATCTAGTAATCCCAGTTTTATTTTCTATGATTGCGTACATTTTCACCATAAATGTGATGTGAAATGCTGGAAATTGTGTTTCGTCACAATAACCCTGTTTGCAACACCGGGTGGCTTCTGGATAGACAGCTCTTTCAGAGCCAGTCCACTGAAGAATCAATGCTATGATTTGATGTTTTGTAGGTGGGTTAGATACTACTAACCGCAACAAACGTGACGTGATAATCTTTACAGAATACTTCATAACAAGTAGTATGTGGATGACTGGACAAAGTTCCCCTGGAAGCACGGAAATTTTGCCGTCATTCACATACTATTTATTATGCTGGAAAGTCGCCCATCCGGGTGCATAAAGCTACTGCTGACTTGACTTCATTGTCGGTAGATTTCGATGACGTATGGTTTTCCCTTTGATAACTCAATGTTGCTGAGGATTTTAATTCACTCATCAAACTGAGTTCTACAGATTCGTGTGCCGGTTTCCATGCAGTGAATGAATTCCCGTCAATTATACGTTCAACCAAACAGTATCAAATCACAAGGGGGGGACCCAAGCAGCATAACAGAAGACGCTATTTCAACATATTTACTATGACCCGATGAAGAAATAGGTAAATTCTTTTTAGAATTGCCTGGTCGTTATCCCGAACTTTCATCAAAGTTTTCTGCCCGTAGATGTAACATCCAATAAACAGCGAACAAAAAGAAAGCCAAAAAACGAACGTAGAATATATAGGTGAGAAATGTACACGCACTAGAGTGAGTATACGACGATTGTAGAGACGAAATCGTAGGCGCATCACATCACACGCCTGTTCCTCCGGGGTCTCCACACTGACACGACCGATCTCGGACAATTCGTTCAGAAGTCGGTTCAGCCGATTGCTAGTCGGTGAAGCCGGGAATGTGAAACAAGCCAGAATGACTTCATCACCGGTTTGACGTCCCGCGACAGTGTTGCTGCTGAACGGAAAGGCCGATGATAGTCCGAAACGAGGATCGTAACCCGAGTAGGGCTGAAGAAGTTCAAGAGAAATTCAAACTGCACTTTGTAATATTTATTTCTTTTGTTCTCAGTTTTGCTGATTTAGTCGATACAAAAAGAAATGTAGGGCTCTTGCTGCATGATCAATCCTGAATGGAATGAAGCAAATGTTTTGCTGAATGTGGTTAAAACTGGTGCTGTCGAAGTTTTTATGGGGATTACAGGAAGAGGGGAGCAGAAACGTGAGCTGCATGAACATTTGAGATTAGAATTCTGCTACCCAATTTTTGTGTTAGACAGCTTCACTGGTGTCCGGACCAATATCACACCTATCCTTAGGGAGTGAGATGGCTGAGATAGCCGGTTTCCACAGTTCAACAGTACGATCTCGTGATCATAAGATTCAAGTTGTACAATAGGAAACCGTGTGATCGATGAAAAAACAGAAAAAAATATTAAACCATTATACCGAAAAAACCGAGGAGAACAGCTGAGTCAACGGTTCGGCTGTTTGAATCTCGTGTCTTGTGAAGGGTTAGTTAAAAGTTGCGCATTTATATCCGGTTGATGGCTGAAAATCTGCACACACACACGCACACCAGATCCGGCCGATGAACACAATGTAATGAAAGTAAGCTCATTTTGGGACACGGTGGTACATTGTTGATAGTCTTTTAGCGGTGTATCGGTTGATTTTCAGTACCAGTTGGACAGTTGGACATTTTCCAGTATTGCTACTCTGACAGCATTTTAGAACGATGCTTAACTTTGTTTATACTCAGCACATAATTCACTCCAGCTTTTTTTCGATCGCTCACGTCGCGTCTCATTGATAAGGATGTCTGTGGAGCGAACAAAGAGGTTTCGGGGAGCAACTAGCGTCGAACTAATTGTGCCACACTGAAACGGAGAGCAGATAGAAAACAAAATAAAAACGAGGGGGGGGGGACTCGAATGTTCGTTCACTTGTCTAACTCTGAATAACTCGCCCCTAAGTGGGGATAATTCAAATTTATGGATGCAGTACAGAGTGATATTTCCAGTACCAGTCACCTTGATTCGAGCCAAAAGATTTCGGGAAGAACTTGGTGATGATGATGATGATGATGACTGCTTTGTTTATTGATGACCCAGATTCGTTTAAGTCACGTTTTAAAAGTGGACCACATGATCCAAGCTGAGTTGGTTTTCAATCATACGGATAATCGAGTCAACTAGACAATCATTAGCCATTCATTTTCGTGCGCTGGTTTTGATTGCCCATTCGGACAGAAAAGCTGAATGAAGATTGGAATGTTGAGAGCAAATGGAAGATGGATAATTCACATAGACTGCAGTTGCAACAATATTGAGTAGATGCATAAGCGGTACTGTTCACGATGTTCAGTCATACCGTTCAGTGTACCTAAGCATTGGTAACGATGATTTCGGGGTCCCCAGCCAGGGAGCCTAACGGGACTAAAGTGACCGAATCTCCCGATCAAGGTTTTATGCCTTCATGCCGGATCACTGTTTGGCCACCGTTGACTTTTTTCCGTCTATTACCTAGTCATAGACTCATTCAGAATCACAAAAAAAAATAGACTGAACACTCCCGTATTGCTAGGGGAACTGCTGTGCCAACTAGATAGGGAATTCGTTTTAGCAGAGAATAGGCAGCGTTTCTATGCGATCCAAATGTGCGCTGTTCTGGTGAATCCCCGGAAAACCCTTGAATCATTCTGAGCTTTGGAGTGGTGGAATGAAATCACTTACGTGTTGTTGTTGTCGACTCTGAAAACGGTAGGCATTGTCAGATAGTTGAGACGTTCGAGTGATCGGTGTTTCCGGTATGCTTGGTGACGATATACCCCGTTCGCGTGACAGTCTGTTCAGAACGGTCAACAATGAATTAATCTACAAGACGTTGAAGGACAGAGAAAGGAGACAAAGCGATGGTATGAAAAACTAGGGATTATCGAAACCACGGGAAGGCTTTCATCTTGTCCAAAAAGAGATCCTACAGGATCTATTTAACAATAAGCGAACGAAGTAATCCACAAACAGAACAGCGATGGGCAAAAGCTCAGGAAGCATGCTGTTCACACAAACTCGAAACAGGACCGTGGGGTAAAAGAGAATATTTCAACAACATGCAACGCAGTCTTGTGCATCTTCTTCAAATTTATCCATAATTACGGTCTCGTCGGGTGGTGCATTGAACAACCACGGTTCGATTACGCACAAGTATTACTACGACGTACCTTACACCGAGAGCTATTGCTCAGAATAGAAGTCCGCGGAGCGACTGTTGTAAGGTTTATTTATTGAAGCCCCTTACTTCACACAAAAAGATATTAAATTGCGTAGAGTGACACCAAAAAAGTTTATTCTCATTCTCCATAATTTATTTCGTTCCATTTTCACTTTTCAAGTCTGTAATATTTGTTAGAATTGGTGTTGCGCTGGGGCCTCGCTTGTCCCCAAGTTGGTGAAGACATATACGTATTTCATCAACACAAGAAGACATATGTTGGCAGAATTGATATTTGCCCATCAATTTCGCGTGCTCTAATTCAGCCGTAGACGCACATTTGTATGATCATGCCAAACGAAGAAACGTAAGTTTTAGTTTTTGATTGTAAAACCTGTCTTGAGAAAGGTCATCCACTGTAACCGAAACGTCGGCAAATACAATTCTCTACCGAAATCGCTCTGTTATTAATATTCTAATATTCACGAAGAAACATGAGAGTTTAAATGGGTCATTTGAACGAGGTGGCGGACAAGTTGCTTGTTTACGGGTTGAGGTCGAATTAGATGACAATTTGATATGGAGATGAACGGGTCCAAACAATGTGGAGAATGTGGTGGAGGATGGGGGAGCGAAGGCCATGTCTTACACTATGGTGATGTATATCAAGTAGGACACCATTACTACCACGGCAACAACAGTTGCGTTATAAGTGTTTTTTAGCACAACTGCGGATTCAAGCGATGAATAGTTATCGCTTCCGAACTTCGAGGCCTCGTATTGACTCCAGATGCTTCAGGTGCGTCCACATGGGAACCAGAGTCTAACAAATGCCGGTCAGGACAGAACAGGACAGGACACAGAACTTGCGGCAAAGCCAGATGGAGTCCAGTTTCTTGCACCAGGTGAGCTCAAAGTGGGTGAGACGGTGCTTCGACAGTAGTTTGTGTTCCAAGTGTTTCAAAGGTTAGAGCTACAAAAGGATTACACTGCTGATGGACCCATGGGTAACCGAAAGATATCAGAGATAG